AACACACCCAGCCCCCTCCACCGCCAGCACCCAAACCACAGCAGCACCTGCCTGCATTGACACAGCAGTGTCACCCAGAGTTCACAGTGTCCCTCGATGTGTACGTTCTGTGGGTTTGCACGTACGTACGGTGACATGTCCCATCGTTACGGTGGGTTTCACCGCCCTGAAAATGCTCCGTGCTCCCCCTGCTCATCCCTCCTCCCCCACCGCTGCAAACCGCTGACCTTTTTATTGTGACCGTACTGTTGCCTTTTCCAGAACTGCGTGTCGCACAGTTGGAATCATAAAGCATGTTGCTTTTTCAAAGTTGCTGCTTTCACTTAGTAACACGCATTTAAGGTTCCTCCACGCCTCTTTATGGCTTGATAGCTCATTTCTTTTTAGTGCTGGATACCATTGCGTTGCCTGGCATAACACCGTTTGTGTATCCGTTCACCTACTGAAGGACACATCTTGGTTGCTCCCGAGCTTTGGCATTTTGAGTAAAGCTGCTCTCACAGACATTTGCGTGCGGGTTTTGGTATGGATGTAAGTTTCCATTCATTTGTGCAAATACCAAGGAGTGTGGGTGCTAGATTGCACGGTAGGAACATTTTTAGTTTGGTGAGAGGCGACCAGACGGCGCCCGAGCGCCCACACCCCTCGCCCCCCCCTCCCCAGCAGTGAATGAGCGCTTGTGTTGATCGACGTCCACGCCAGTGCTCCGTGTCGTCACTGCTCAGGACGCGGGCCGTTCTCACAGGTGTGAAGGGCTATCTCACCGTCCTCATCCGCAATTCCATAGTGACCTGTGACGCTGAGCGTCCTCTCTCAGCTTGCTTGCCATCCGTGCATCTCTCTTGGTGAGGTTTCTGTCCCGATCTTCTCACTTCCCAGCCGAAGCGGGTTGTTTTCCTCCTGTTGATTTTTAAGAGTTCTTTGTACGTTTCGGCTAGCGCTCCTTTATCAGAGGTGTCTGTGGCAGCCTGTGGCTTGCCTTCGCGTTCTCTGATCTCCCCGGCTTTCCCTTCTAATAATCATTCTTCCGTGCTCCCCACCATCAGTATCAGTGTGCCCCTTTCCCTGTGATGTTGGGCTGGTTCGGTTTGCCTGTAATGTTTCATCAGGTGTTTTCTTTAGAGGTTAGTAGAATGCTTGCATGCATTTCAGCCACTCTACACGGTATGGAAATGCGTCCTCAGAATCCTCAACTCTTCTGTTACATAATTGGTCAGAAGCCTGTGCAATTCGTCCAAGTACTTTATTACACATTGTGCCATGTTTAGAACGGGTGAAATACCTTATAAGCAATATCTTACAGGCGTTCTAAACTTAATTCTAATTAATAAGCATTCAGGAATGTGCAGAAGTTCTTATGAGTAATAACTCTCCCTGTCCCCTGTCACTGGCAACATCTGTAATTAACAGCTGGGGGAGTAACCAGTTGCCTGTTTGCTTCTGTGTTTATTGGCTAGAGTAACCCTGTGCAAGGGGGAACGTACCCACCCCCAGATAAGAAGACACGTAAGCCCCAGCACACAATGCAGATCAGTATCCGGGGGGAGGCTGGCTGGCTCTCCCCACTTTTTCACAGGCATATTATGGGAAGCCGCACCTCCCCAAAAGGCAGGATCGCCTTTGGCTGAGACCCCATCGCATCTGATTCTCAAGGCATGGACCTAGTCGCAGGTAGTGAGGCTTAGGAGTGCCGATCTAAGCAGAAGGGGACAAGGCAGCTTAGAGCAGGTGTCTTTGGAGAGAGCGAGGAAGGATTGCTGCATTCAGCAGGCAGGCAGGCTGCTGGGTGCAGGGATTCTCAACCCGGGCAGCACTGCAGAAGGACCCTTGGCCTGCAGCCAGGGTGAGGGCGTCAGCAGGAGCACCTTGCGAGCCTCGGAGACTGGAGGGAGGCCAGGAAATGTGGGGAGTTGCTTGGCAGGGCTTGGAGCTGGGGTAGGGAGAAGAGGCTCCCTTGAGGGTGGAGAGGAGCCACAGACGGCCAGGATGGGGGAGAGCGGGAGGGCTGGGTTTAATTGTTGCAAACTACAAAAAGCCCGAAAGTAATAGGGGCTCATTGTATCAAAATTAGAAAACACACATGGTGAGAAAGAAGAAAAGTCATCCGTGTTGCTAACCCCTGAGCTGAGAGTGGTCACCACTTTTTCAGACACCTGTTGGAGTTTCCTGTCCCATGCACCTGTGCAGACTCGCCCCCATCTCCTGGCCCCCACAGAACATCTGTGTCACCCGGGTCGGTCCCCTCTGCTCCGGGCTCCATGAGGGAAGGAATGGTGACTGTTGGTTATGGTTGATATCATAATGGTGCCCAGTAAATGCTTCTTGAATGAATGGATGGAATAGTAACTGGTGTATCTTCAATTGTATTTCTGAAACGAGATCGCGCTGTGTAGGCCATTTCCAACCTACTTCTGGTTGCCAGCCTTTGGGCCTCGGAGGCGTTCTTTGAGGCTCATTGTCCACAGATCCGTTTGCCCTCCTGGCTCCTGTTGTTGGGCAGCAGAAGGGGTGCAGGGACATCCAGGCAGCTGGATCGCGTTTGTGCTCATTCTCCCCAGCTTCCCTGGTATAAGTTTCCAGCAATAGATTTGCTTGGTCAAAGGGCATAGGGATTCGAATCTTTAGATATGTATTTCCAAGTTGTTCTCCAGAAGAAAAAAAAATTTACTCTTTTATGAGCAATCTTTCTACATACGTCTACATTTGGGTATTTTGTGTGTGTGTGTTTTCATCCAAATGGGTTTCTGAGAATTGTTTAGTATTACATTTTCCTGTTTGAAAAAGACAAACTTCCTTTATTGTCCGTTTTAAAAATTATTGTCATTGGCTCCCTTTATTTTGTGTGTGTGAAGTACATGTCTGACTGTCGGCTCATTTTTCCACTGGCGTTCTCGTCATTGGCCTGTTAACTCACTATTTGTTAGCCGTTTCAGCCACTTGTGTGTGTGTATGTGTGTGTGTGCGCGCGTGCGTGTGTGTTTAATATTTATTTTTGAGACAGCGCGAGTCGGGGGAGGAGCAGAGAGGGGCGGACAGAGGATCCCAAGCAGGCTCTGTGCTGACAGCTGGAGCCCGATGAGGGGCTCGAACTCACGAACCGTTGGAGATCACGACCCGAGCCACAGTCGGTCACGCAACCGACTGAGCCACCCGGGTGCCCCAGCCGTTTGCTCTTACGTACTTTTCACAATTTCTTCATTTACCTTTTGGCTTCCACTTTATTTGTGGTAATTTTTGGCATTGTCCAGTTTTTCCAGAATTTTGGAGTCAAGTCTTCTTAAGACTGTGTTTCCTCCTTTATTATGCTTTAAAGGTCTTCTCTTCTCCCAAGTCCTTCTAGAACTTCATCCTTTTCCCGCTGACCTCTTGGCTTCCCTCAGCTAGTTAACCTTCTGTCGATGGGGAACATTATCCACTTTCTGCTCGTCCGAATGCTGCCTTGATCACATTCCGTAAGCTCTCAGAGTCTCAGGAACTCTGTCTCTGTTCCGTTGGTGGGGTCCACGCTGTACTCCATCCAGTACAGGGTTTGAACTAAGCCTTAAAGTCTGTAGGAGAGGGGCTTTTATAGAAGGGTGGGGAGGAATGGTTTGTAGGTGACCTTGAGAGGGGAGCCAGTGCTGTCCCGCCCCTTCCTTCTGTCCCCACAGAATTGGTGCTACTTATCAGGAAGGCCATCGGTTTGCAAGGGGGTCAAACGAAGAGAAGGTTAGGTTGCGAACGTGAGACAAATTGAGAAGTAACTCATCACCGGTTCAGAGGGCATGCTGTAGGCCGGGTGCTGGTATCAGTTTGCTTCCGTTGTGTGGCCTTGCAGAGCTCTGAGGCACCTGTACGAGGTGGTATCACTTGCCCAAGGTCCCCCAGCTCATAAGCGCTGGGGTCGGGGACCCCCAGGCCAGCATTGTAAACTCATGCTGTGCAAAACAGCCAAGGTGGCAGGGATGTGTGAAGCTGGGGTCTTCCGGGTCCCTCTGGGGTTGTGGTCTGGACACAGTCCCTGTGGCCTTGGTCTTCCAGTGACATCACACCTGGGCTGAAATGCTATTTGGGCAGAGGCCCCAGAAACCTGGGCTCTAGGAGTCTGGTGGCTGAACACCAGGGGGTACCTAGGCAGAGGGGAGGAGTGGCCTTGTGGAGGGAGGTGACTGCCTGGGCCCTAAGGTCCCACGAAGCCCTCGCTCCCCGGGGCCCGCGGTGCTGAGAGCTGCCCGGTCTCCAGAGGCAGTGCAACAGCCCTGAGGCCCAAGTGCCTCTGTGGGCCTCTGCCGCTTCTCCTGCTGGAGGCCGACCGACGGCCAAGCTTCCCGAAGAGTCAGCTGCCGGAGGAGCTGGGGAAGGAGCCCCGCGGGCACCGCAGGCCGAGACTTCGGGAGCGCCTGGTGTTTAATCACATCCCTTTGCTTTTTCTTTTCTTTTTTTTTTTTTAATTTTCTTTTTTTGAATGCTTATTTATTTTTGGGACAGAGAGAGACAGAGCATGAACGGGGGAGGGGCAGAGAGAGAGGGAGACACAGAATCGGAAACAGGCTCCAGGCTCTGAGCCATCAGCCCAGAGCCTGACGCGGGGCTCGAACTCACGGACCGCGAGATCGTGACCTGGCTGAAGTCGGACGCTTAACCGACTGCGCCACCCAGGCGCCCCCCCCTTTGCTTTTTCAAGTGAGTTCCCTCTCCAGGACCTCAGTGGCTTGACTCTCGCATTGCATTTTCATGTGCGTTCCACATTCCAGAATATAATTAGAGCAAGGAACCGTAGGAGCTCATTTTGGCCATATTCATATGCCGTGATGGTTACAAAAGTCACCACAAAGCCAGCTCTCTTTGACACTTTTACCCGGTGCTTCAGAGTTTGTTTAACACAAAAATCAAGAGTCGAACACTTAACTGACTGAGCCTCCAGGCTCCCCATTTCTGTCCTGTTTTTTATTTTTTATTTAATTTAATTTTTTATAATTTTTTAATTTTTTATTTTTTATTTTTTAATATGAAATTTATTGTCAAATCAGTTTCTCTACTTCTTTTTAATGCTTATTTAGTTTTGAGAGAGAGCACATGAGTGGGGAGGGGCAGAGAGAGGGAGGCACAGAATCGGAAGCAGGCTCCAGGCTCTGAGCTGTCAGCACAGAGCCCGACGCGGGGCTCAAACTCACAAACCGCAAGATCGTGACCTGAGTCAAAGTCGGATGCTTAACCAACTGAGCCACCCAGGTGCCCCTAATTGATTTTTGAAAGAGCATGCACAAGCAGGGGAGGGGCAGAGAGAGGGGGAGACACAGAATCGGAAGCAGGCTCCAGGCTCTGAGCTGTCCGCACGGAGCCCGACATGGGCCTTGAACCCAGGAACTGTGAGATCACGACCTGAGCTGAAGTTGGTCGTTAAACCCACTGAGCCGCCCAGGCGCCCCCGCCCTGTTTTTTAAAGAGTGCTGCTTACGGCTCCTGGTGGTGGTTCCGTGGCCTGCTGTTGGCATGAGTCACGTTTTTTGCAAACACCGTCCTGATGGCATTGGCTCCAGGGCCCGTGTTTGCCCTCCCAGCGTGCAGGGTCCCGTCTTTCCGTGGAGTCACCCCTCACGTTGACTTCTGACCCGCCCCACTGGCCCAGCAGAGGGGCGCCTTGGCGGATGAGTGCCGGGGGACGGAGCCCTCCCGTTACCCCAGGGCTGCACCCCCACCACCACCTTTAATTCCATGCCCGCCTTATGTAGAGCGTCAGTTTTGGGGGGCAGTGTCTGCTGGAGCTGGGATGGACTTTCACCGGTTACTCAGCAGACGGTCCTGAAGGAGGTCTCCACGAGAGGACAGGAAAAGGCCGCCGAGAAGGAAACGCTCTGAACTCAGGCAGCTGGCGAGAAGGCTGGTGAGGGAGGCTGCTCTGTGGGGGGCGTGGCGGGACGCCGAGGTCCTGCCATGGGACCGAGGGCGCAGCGTCTCTCTCTGGAGCCCCGTGGGAGTCCCTGTGAGCAAGCAGGGCAGACTCCAGGGCAGGACACTTTTATCTTTATTTTATTGTGTAACGTTACTTATTTGTTTAAAGAGAGCTCGAGCGCGTGCATACGGGCGGGGGATGGGCAGAGAGAGAGGGAGACCGAGAGTCCCAAGCAGGCTCTGTGCTGATGCGGGCTAGAACCCACAACCCTGGGATTGTGACCTAAGCCGAAACCAAGTGGGACGCTTGACTGAGCCCCCCAGGCGCCCCTAAGTACAACAAAGGCCACATGGGAGCCTTTGATTCGTTAACTGTGGCGAAACTTTTGAGAAGCTCCGTGGAGAAGGGACTTGCTTAAGACCTTGGTGTCACCGCGCCCCCACCCCCACCCCAGCCAGCCGTGACCTTGCTTCACGCCTCACCAGGGAATGCCTCCCCACCTTCTCCCGTCTTGCGAGACAGACTCCCTGGAGGGACGGCCCGTCCCCCACGTTCCCCCTGCACCGGAGTCCCACGCCGGGGCCAGAGATTGCTCTCAGAAAATGCCAGTTTGATTCTGTCACCACTTCGCTTCGGGTCTTCAGCGTCTCCTCACTTCGTGCACCAAGGGGTCCGGAGCCCTCCTCCACCGGGCAGCCCTGATCTGGTTTCAGGCAGCCTCCCCACCGTTTCCGGTTTCTTAACACCCTGTGCGTCTGGAGCCTCCCCGCCTTCCGCAGAGAGTCTCGTGAGCCTGGAGCGTGCCGCCTCCTTCAGCCTCACCCCTCACCTAAACACATCTGTAAGATGCTGCCCGTGGAGCCCCCCTCCTTTGAAACCTTCCGTATTTATGGATGTCCCCACCCCCGCTGTCCCTCTTCGCACTTTGTGCCTTCATTAAGTCACCTGGCACATTGGGCTAACTTTTCCCTGGGGACACCATTGGGGGGTTACATGTCTGGCTCCCCGAGGGACAGGGTGTTCCTGGGGGGCTCTGGGTCCTTGACTTCAACCGCGGCTAGCACGTCGAAATGCAGAAAGTTTGCTCCACATAACACATCGCCTGTGTGGTTTACCAACCCGTGTGTGTAGACGTTGAAGGCAGAAAGGAACGACTCAGCCACCACATCTCAGCGGGACAAAAGGACGTGCGGCTGAGAAGAGCCAGCCGGTGACTGGAGAGTCCTTGGCTGTCACCGCCATTATTAATACATTGTAAAGACGTTTTGGGGATCCCGCCATATTTTGTATGGTTGCCAACAAAACGTTGACAGTTGTATTGTGGTTAATAAATTCATTGAGATTTATAAGCATTGTTTACAGAACCTGTTCGCCTGCTGAAACTCTAGCAGCATCTGTTCCTTCTTACTAATTAACTGCTAATTACGAATGAGCTTTGTGTGTTTGTCAGTATAACTGGCTCATGCAT